GAAAGGAAATGGGTGGTTTTTCCACCCCAGGGGAAAAGGAGTGGAGGGGAAAAGGACATCCGGTTTTAAGAGGGGGAGGAAAAAGGGACAAGGGACCCAGACGCCCCGGGTGGCATATGGGGTGGAAATGGAGGCAGGGAGCCCCTCGAAATTCCTTGGCCCCAAAGGGCCCCATAGAAATGCCCCTTTTGTTTTGCGTAGCGACAGCCGAAAAAAAAAACCAAATCAACAGAGGGAAAAAACTTTTGGCTGTCCCCCCCCTTGTTGGGCCCCCTCGCTTTTCTTCCCAAAAATGGCCTTTTTCACACTGCGGAGAGGGGGCCAAAAATTACGTACTATGTAATAAAACGCCACTATTGTAGTTCAGTTGGTCTTCTTGCCTTTGTGGCACGCATTCAAGGTTCTTCAGACACTGCTGAGTGCCTGTTACGCTCGCGCTTCCGTCATAGGGTGCCATGAGCGAGCAGGGACGGGGTGGTGTCCTAGGAGCTGCTGCCAGGCCCCGCAATCTGCCATGGGCCCCTACGCATTCCGCCTCCTCTTGACTGCTGCCAAGTCCAGCTGTCTTCTCCATGCCGTCCAGGTGATACGGAAAACTATAACCAGCCGCTGTCTTCTTCAGGCAGCAGCAGCAGCATCAGCCAAATACAGGTGGACCTTGGTTATGCAGGAGCTCAAGGAACAACAGGATAGGTTGCTACATTGGACAGCACGTTCCAACCGAGGTAGACTGGCAGATTACGATGCCTCCTTGACGAGCTGGGCAAAGGCGTAATCTGGACCCTTTGGCCACCAACTAGATCAGAAATCTTTGCCTAGAATAGGCTGACATGGCCAGGGTCCAGTAGCGAGGTCATCGGAGCGAGGTCTCCTCATCACACTGCTGGTATGTTCCATTTCTTGTCATAGGGTGCTGCAGATTACGGGCCTCCCATTGCTGCTGTCTCCATCGCCACACTCTGCCATGTGCCACTTTCAGGTCTCTTCACACTGCTGGTGTGTTTAATTTTTTGACATAGGGTGCTGGCAGATTACGGGCCTCCCATAGCTGCTGCCAGGCCCCTAATCTGCCATGGGCCCCTATATACCGCCTCCTCATGCTGCTGCCAAGTCCAGAGTCTCTCATGGGTCCCTGTACGGCCATCCCATTGCTGCTGTTTCCATCGCCACACTAATCTGCCATGGGCCCCTATATACCGCCTCCTCATGCTGCTGCCAAGTCCAGAGTCTCTCATGGGTCCCTGTACGGCCTCCCATTGCTGCTGTCTCCATCGCCACAGTCTGCCATGTGCCACTTTCAGGTCTCTTCACACTGCTGGTGTGTTTTAATTTTTTGACATAGGGTGCTGGCAGATTACGGGCCTCCCATAGCTGCTGCCAGGCCCCTAATCTGCCATGGGCCCCTATATACCGCCTCCTCATGCTGCTGCCAGGTCCAGAGTCTCTCATGAGTCCCTGTACGGCCTCCCATTGCTGCTGCCCATCGGCAGCAGGGTTGCAGCTCTGTCAGTGGAGGCAAAACGGCCACGGAGTAGAGCTCTCCACTGCAAGCCTACCACCACGGCCAGTATTTTGCCGGTGTGCACGGAGGAAGTGCAGTCAGCCAGAGGAGTAGCGGAGGCCTTTCCTACTCTGCGGTGTGGCAATTTTTCGTCAAGCCGCCCGAGGAAGTAAACGTAGCCGTCTGTCGACTATGTGGCCAGAAATGCAAGCGTGGCCAGGGGGCCCATGTTGGGACTACAGCGTTGCGTCAGCATATGCAGCGTCGCCATTCGGTGCCTGGGAAAAACGTGATAAAGATACGGCGGTTCTGCCTGCCCCAGCCCAGGGTTCCATTTTGTCATAGGGTGCTGGCAGATTACGGGCCTCCATAGGTGCCGCCAGGCCCCAAATCGGCCATGGGCCCCCGTACCGCCTGCCTCACGCTGCTGCTGGGCCCACAGTGTGACCTGGGTCCCTGTACGGCCTCCCATTGCTTCCACTCTGCCATGTGCCACTTTGAGGTCTCCTTACACTCCTGCGTGTTGTCCATTTTGTCATAGGTTGCTGGCAGATTAGCGGCCTCCCATAGGTGCCGCCAGGCCCCATATCGGCCATGGGCCCCCGTACCTACCTGGTCACGCTGCTGCTGCTGGTCCCACAGTGTGACCTGGGTCCCTGTACGGCCTCCCATTGCTTGTCTCACCCACTCTGCCATGTGCCACTTTGAGGTCTCCTCACACTCCTGTGCTTTTCCATTTTGACATAGGTTGCTGGCAGATTACGGGCCTTCCATAGGTGCCGCCAGGCCCCATATCGGCCATGGGCCCCCGTACCGCCTGGTCACGCTGCTGCTGGGCCCACAGTGTGACCTGGGTCCCTGTACGGCCTCCCATTGCTTCCACTCTGCCATGTGCCACTTTCAGGTCTCCTCACACTCCTGTGCTTTTCCATTTTGACATAGGTTGCTGGCAGATTACAGGCCTTCCATAGGTGCCCGCCAGGCCCCATATCGGCCATGGGCCCCCGTACCTCCTGGTCACGCTGCTGCTGCTGAGCCACAGTGTGACCTGGGTCCCTGTACGGCCTCCCATTGCTTCCACTCTGCCATGTGCCACTTTGAAATCTCCTCACACTCCTGCGGTTTTCCATGTTGTCATAGGTTGCTGGCAGATTAGCGGCCTTCCATAGGTGCCGCCAGGCCCCATATCGGCCATGGGCCCCCGTACCGCCTGGTCACGCTGCTGCTGGTCCCACAGTGTGACCTGGGTCCCTGTACGGCCTCCCATTGCTTCCACTCTGCCATGTGCCACTTTGAGGTCTCCTCACACTCCTGCTTTTCCATTTTTTGACATAGGTTGCTGGCAGATTACAGGCCTTCCATAGGTTCCGCCAGGCCCCATATCGGCCATGGGCCCCCGTACCTCCTGGTCACGCTGCTGCTGAGCCCACAGTGTGACCTGGGTCCCTGTACGGCCTCCCATTGCTTCCACTCTGCCATGTGCCACTTGAGGTCTCCTCACACTCCTGCGCTTTTCCATTTTGACATAGGTTGCTGGCAGATTACAGGCCTTCCATAGGTTCCGCCAGGCCCCATATCGGCCATGGGCCCCCGTACCTCCTGGTCACGCTGCTGCTGAGCCCACAGTGTGACCTGGGTCCCTGTACGGCCTCCCATTGCTTCCACTCTGCCATGTGCCACTTTGAAATCTCCTCACACTCCTGCGGTTGTCCATTTTGTCATAGGTTGCTGGCAGATTACAGGCCTTCCATAGGTGCCGCCAGGCCCCATATCGGCCATGGGCCCCCGTACCTCCTGGTCACGCTGCTGCTGAGCCCACAGTGTGACCTGGGTCCCTGTACGGCCTCCCATTGCTTCCACTCTGCCATGTGCCACTTTGAGGTCTCCTCACACTCCTGTGCTGGTGTGCTTTTCCATTTTGACATAGGTTGCTGGCAGATTACAGGCCTTCCATAGGTGCCGCCAGGCCCATATCGGCCATGGGCCCCCGTACCTCCTGGTCACGCTGCTGCTGAGCCCACAGTGTGACCTGGGTCCCCTGTACGGCCTCCCATTGCTTCCACTCTGCCATGTGCCACTTTGAGGTCTCCTCACACTCCTGTGCTTTTCCATTTTGACATAGGTTGCTGGCAGATTACAGGCCTTCCATAGGTTCCGCCAGGCCCCATATCGGCCATGGGCCCCCATACCTCCTGGTCACGCTGCTGCTGAGCCCACAGTGTGACCTGGGTCCCTGTACGGCCTCCCATTGCTTCCACTCTGCCATGTGCCACTTTGAAATCTCCTCACACTCCTGCGGTTGTCCATTTTGTCATAGGTTGCTGGCAGATTACAGGCCTTCCATAGGTTCCGCCAGGCCCCATATCGGCCATGGGCCCCCGTACCTCCTGGTCACGCTGCTGCTGAGCCACAGTGTGACCTGGGTCCCTGTACGGCCTCCCATTGCTTCCACTCTGCCATGTGCCACTTTGAGGTCTCCTCACACTCCTGTGCTTTTCCATTTTGACATAGGTTGCTGGCAGATTACAGGCCTTCCCCATAGGTTCCGCCAGGCCCCATATCGGCCATGGGCCCCCGTACCTCCTGGTCACGCTGCTGCTGAGCCCACAGTGTGACCTGGGTCCCTGTACGGCCTCCCATTGCTTCCACTCTGCCATGTGCCACTTTGAGGTCTCCTCACACTCCTGTGCTTTTCCATTTTGACATAGGTTGCTGGCAGATTAGCGCCTTCCATAGGTTCCGCCAGGCCCCATATCGGCCATGGGCCCCCGTACCCGCCTGGTCACGCTGCTGCTGGTCCCACAGTGTGACCTGGGTCCCTGTACGGCCTCCCATTGCTTCCACTCTGCCATGTGCCACTTTGAGGTCTCCTCACACTCCTGTGCTTTTCCATTTTGACATAGGTTGCTGGCAGATTACAGGCCTTCCCATAGGTGCCGCCAGGCCCCATATCGGCCATGGGCCCCCGTACCTCCTGGTCACGCTGCTGCTGCTGGCCCACAGTGTGACCTGGGTCCCTGTACGGCCTCCCATTGCTTCCACTCTGCCATGTGCCACTTTGAAATCTCCTCACACTCCTGCGGTTTTCCATTTTGTCATAGGTTGCTGGCAGATTAGCGGCCTTCCATAGGTGCCGCCAGGCCCCAAATCCATGCCATGGGCCCCGTACCGCCTGGTCACGCTGCTGCTGGGCCCACAGTGTGACCTGGGTCCCTGTACGGCCTCCCATTGCTTCTGCTGCCATGTGCCACTTTGAGGTCTCCTCACACTCCTGCGTGTTTTCCATTTTGGATAGGCAAACTGGCCACGATTAGAGCAGCAGCTCCACTGCAGCCTACCACCACAGCCAGTAGTGGGCCCCCGTACCTCCTGGTCACGGAGGAAGCTAGCAGTCCCAGTGTGAGGTCCCTGCGGCCTGCCAGTTTCCACTCTGCCATGGCCACTGGCAAGTTTTCGTCATGCGGTTTGTCCATTTTTGTCATAGGTTGCTGGAAGTAAACGTAGCCTAATGTCGACTATGTGGCCAGAAAGTCAAGCGTGGCCAGGGGGGCCCATATGTTGGGACTACAGCGTTGCGGTCACATATGCTGCAGCGTCGCCATTTCAGTGTGACCTGGGTCCCTGTACGGCCTCCCATTGCTTCCACTCTGCCATTTGCCACTGCCTGGTCTCCTCACAGCTCCAGCGGTTTTCCATTTTGTCATAGGTTGCTGGCAGATTACGGGCCTCCCATAGGTGCCGCCAGGCCCCAAATCGGCCATGGGCCCCCGTACCGCCTGGTCACGCTGCTGCTGGGCCCACAGTGTGACCTGGGTCCCTGTACGGCCTCCCATTGCTGCTGCTCTGCCAGGAGGCAGCAGGAGGTCTCCTCACACTCCTGCAGCTGTGTCAGTGGAGGCAAACGGCCTTCGGATAGTAGCCGCCAGCAGCTCCACTGCAGCCTACCACCACAGCCAGTAGTGGTGCCGGTGTGCACGGAGGAAGTAGCAGTCAGCCAGTGAGGAGTAGCGGGTGCAAAGTTTCCTACTCGGCGGTGTGGCAAGTTTTCGTCAAGCCGCCCGAGGAAGTAAACGTAGCCTAATGTCGACTATGGCCATGGCCAGAAAGTCAAGCGTGGCCAGGGGGCCCATGTTGGGACTACAGCGTTGCGTCAGCATATACGCCTCCCATTGCGTCGCCATCGGTGGCCTGGGAAAAACGTGATAAAGATACGGCGGTTCTGCCTGCCCCACCCAGGGTTTTTCCATTTTGTCATAGGGTGCTGGCAGATTACGGGCCTTCCATAGGTGCCGCCAGGCCCCAATCGGCCATGGGCCCCCGTACCGCCTGGTCACGCTGCTGCTGGGCCCACAGTGTGACCTGGGTCCCTGTACGGCCTCCCATTGCTTCCACTCTGCCATGTGCCACTTTGAAATCTCCTCACACTCCTGCGGTTGTCCATTTTGTCATAGGTTGCTGGCAGATTACAGGCCTTCCATTGGTGCCGCCAGGCCCCATATCGGCCATGGGCCCCCGTACCGCCTGGTCACGCTGCTGCTGAGCCCACAGTGTGACCTGGGTCCCTGTACGGCCTCCCATTGCTTCCACTCTGCCATGTGCCACTTTGAAATCTCCTCACACTCCTGCGGTTTTCCATTTTGTCATAGGTTGCTGGCAGATTAGCGGCCTTCCATAGGTGCCGCCAGGCCCCATATCGGCCATGGGCCCCCGTACCGCCTGGTCACGCTGCTGCTGAGCCCACAGTGTGACCTGGGTCCCTGTACGGCCTCCCATTGCTTCCACTCTGCCATGTGCCACTTTGAAATCTCCTCACACTCCTGCGGTTGTCCATTTTGTCATAGGTTGCTGGCAGATTACAGGCCTTCCATAGGTGCCGCCAGGCCCCATATCGGCCATGGGCCCCCGTACCGCCTGGTCACGCTGCTGCTGAGCCCACAGTGTGACCTGGGTCCCTGTACGGCCTCCCATTGCTTCCACTCTGCCATGTGCCACTTTGAGGTCTCCTTACACTCCTGCGGTTTTCCATTTTGTCATAGGTTGCTGGCAGATTAGCGGCCTTCCATAGGTGCCGCCAGGCCCCATATCGGCCATGGGCCCCCGTACCGCCTGGTCACGCTGCTGCTGGTCCCACAGTGTGACCTGGGTCCCTGTACGGCCTCCCATTGCTTCCACTCTGCCATGTGCCACTTTGAGGTCTCCTCACACTCCTGTGCTTTTCCATTTTGACATAGGTTGCTGGCAGATTACAGGCCTTCCATAGGTTCCGCCAGGCCCCATATCGGCCATGGGCCCCCGTACCTCCTGGTCACGCTGCTGCTGGGCCCACAGTGTGACCTGGGTCCCTGTACGGCCTCCCATTGCTTCCACTCTGCCATGTGCCACTTTGAAATCTCCTCACACTCCTGCGGTTGTCCATTTTGTCATAGGTTGCTGGCAGATTACAGGCCTTCCATTGGTGCCGCCAGGCCCCATATCGGCCATGGGCCCCCGTACCGCCTACGCTGCTGCTGAGCCCACAGTGTGACCTGGGTCCCTGTACGGCCTCCCATTGCTTCCACTCTGCCATGTGCCACTTTGAAATCTCCTCACACTCCTGCGGTTGTCCATTTTGTCATAGGTTGCTGGCAGATTACAGGCCTTCCATAGGTGCCGCCAGGCCCCATATCGGCCATGGGCCCCCGTACCTCCTGGTCACGCTGCTGCTGGGCCCACAGTGTGACCTGGGTCCCTGTACTGCCCTCCCATTGCTTCCACTCTGCCATGTGCCACTTTGAGGTCTCCTCACACTGCTGGTGTGTTCAATTTTTTGACATAGGGTGCTGGCAGATTACGGGCCTCCCATTGCTGCTGCCAGGCACGTAATCTGCCATGGGCCCCCGTACCGACTCCTCATGCTGTGACGTTGCAACAACAAGGTGTAATTCAACCCTACATATGTTAGACCGCCTTTACGAACAGCTAAAGGCCATCACAGATTTTCCTGATGTTAAAAGCGGATAAAGGTACTCCCTGTGTAACTTAGATGTCAGCCATTGTCAGCTCATGCGTGACACCTGCGCTTGCTCAGGCCCTTTGAGGAGGCCACGCTATTCGTGAGTCGGCAGGACTATGGGATGAACGAGGTCAAATCGGCCATGGGCCCCCGTACCGCCTGTTCACGCTGATGCTGGTCCCACAGTGTGACCTGGGTCCCTGTACCGCCTCCCATTGCTCCCACTCTGCCATGTGCCACTTTGAGGTCTCCTCACACTCCTGCGGTTTTCCATTTTGTCATAGGTTGCTGGCAGATTACAGGCCTTCCATAGGTGCCACCAGGCCCCAAAATCGGCCATGGGCCCCCGTACCGCCTGGTCACGCTGCTGCTGGGCCCACAGTGTGACCTGGGTCCCTGTACCGCCTCCCATTGCTCCCACTCTGCCATGTGCCACTTTCAGGTCTCCTCACACTCCTGCTGGTTTCCATTTTGTCATAGGTTGCTGTATGGCCTCCCATAGCTGCTGGCTCCACCGCCACACTGTGGCTCCAAACACTGGTTTTGGCCCCGTGACTGGCCAAATGAGTGAAGTGTGCGGTGATTCTAAGATCAACGGCACTCATCTGCATGTCATACTGACTGACAGTATTATTTCTCTTCCCCAGCAGACTCCAAGGGCATTTAAATTAAAGGTACAGTGTTCTGCACTAATATTAAGTCTCTCTGAAGCCTAGAAACACCCTTTTTTAAGTTAAATTCACAGCGAATTTATTCGACTCGAATCGAATATTGTCCACAAATTCGCCGAATCAGTCGAATCGAATTTTTCATTTCTTCGCTCATCTCTAGCTGTAACATAACAAAATGTGGCAAAAGTTAAGTTCTGGGAATACTTTCTAGATGCACTGTGTGTGTGTTAATGTCATAGTTCACATCAGGGCTTGCAGTTCCAGTGAGTTCTGGTTGCAGAAAAAAAGTAGAACACACGTTTTTATTTTTTTTGCACAGAACTTTACTGGAACATGGTAAAATGCATCCAAAACACAGCGGAACGTACTACACACATATGTTTCTATTTAAATTGAAGAAAAAGAAAGAGCAAAAAATGAACTGGAACGCATCAAAAACGCACTGGACCATGCCAAAAACACGCATGTAAAAATGCATCTGGAATGCTTTTACATAGTACAGGAGACAGTCAGAGACTGCAGACATAGTACAGGAGACTGCGGACATATTACAGAAGACAGTCAGAGACTGCGGACATAGTACAGGAGACAGTCGGAGACTGCGGACATAGTACAGGAGACAGTCGGAGACTGCGGACATAGTACAGGAGACAGTCAGAGACTGCGGACAGGATACAGGAGACTGCGGACATAAAACTGTAGACAGTCGGAGACTGTGGACATTGTACAGGAGAACGTCGGAGACTGTGGACATTGTACAGGAGACCGTCAGAGACTGCGGACATAGTACAGGAGACAGTCAAAGACTGTGGACAGGATACAGGAGATGGTCAGAGACTGTGGACATAGTACAAGAGATGATCCGAGACTGTGAACATAGTACAGGAGACGGTCAGAGACTGTGGACACAGTACAGGAGATGGAACGAGAATGTGGACATAGTACAGGAGACAGTCAGAGACTGTGGATAGGATACAGGAGACGGTCAGAGACTGCGGACATAGTACAGGAGATGACCAGAGACTGTGGACAGGATACAGGAGATGGTCCGAGACTGTGGACAGGATACAGGAGATGGTCTGAAACAGTGGACAGGATACAGGAGATGGTCAGAGACTGTGGAAAGGATACAGGAGATGATTAGAGACTGCGGACATAGTACAGGAGATGGTCAGAGACTGTGGAGAGGATACAGGAGATGATTAGAGACTGTGGACATAGTACAGGAGACGGTCAGAGACTGTGAAAAGGGATAAAGGACTGTGGACCAGTCGGAGAGGCCTGGTCTATACCAAGCACTATGGATGACTGCTTTGCCTACACACATTAGATGGGTGCTGCACAACCCGTTAGACCTTGAAGTCACTCAAAGAGTTAGCAGGACTCATCCCAGTATTGGCACCACTTCCAATAATTCACAATATAAAATACAATGAAGTCATTTTCTAGTCTACATCACGCTTTCACCAATATAGTTAGGAACAATATACAATATTGTAGTTAGTAACTTTCAAACACTTTTAAAGTGTTTTCCCCTCACCGTCTGTCTTGGTGGCACATAGAGATGCACCGATACAGTTTTTTCATCGCTGATACTGATCTCAATACTTTGCATTAATGGACGCAAATTGCACTGCAAAGAATAGCATGCGGTTTCCCCATTTCTCCTGTGTGAACACGGGCTTGTCATAGCCTGAATTTACACAGGAGTGGTGCAGGAATCCTCCCTGCAGACATCCCAAACCATCATCGCTGCAAGGAGAGGAATCAAAGCGGCGGAGATTTCAAATCCCCGCTGCTTTCTCTCCTCTCCTACCGCTGGCAATCAGCATGGGACACACTTGGTGTGAACACTGATGTAATATCGGGATTGTGATGTGAAGGAACTGAGGCTAGGTTCTCATCATGGTGTTCTGCATGTAGGCAGCCCATTAATTTTGGCGAGCTACCTTACACGCAGAAATGCAGAGAAATAAATCCCTGGCCCTTTTTCTAAATTGCGCTGCATGGTGCTGTGACACCATGCGCTTTGGCACTTGCAAAAACGCGTTTGCCAATGTGCAGAGATGCCATTAACCTCCCTAGCGGTCTGATTATGTCAATATTTCTCTGCTCAAAGCGGTACATTTTTTTGCATGGAAATATGTCGTTTTTTTATTGTAGGCCTGTAATTCTTAGGAATAACTCACTGAAATCTGTCCAAACAAGATTCTAGTAAACATCCCGGGTATGATAAATTTTGAAACACGAAATTATAAATTATAACATAATAATCATAAAAAATAATAATATAATAATAATAAATGTAATTCAATAATATAATCAAACCAAAAACACTGAAATGTGAAATATAGCGCCAAGTTCGCACATCGCTGAGCAAAGTCGCAGAATCGTTTTCAGTGTCTGATGATGAATTTCCCCCACGAATCATTATCACTCAATTCTGCAAGTGGTTCTGATTTACTATCGCTGTTCTCTAGCCGGTCTAAAACCGCTTTTGACCTAAAGGGACGCTTTTTGGACGCCATGGACATTTCTCAGTTTCCAGGCAGAAAGAACAGTAAAAATGCAGGCAGGGCGCCGGACAAAGCACTCGGGACAAAATGTATGTGAAATGGTTTGATACAGGAATGTTATACTATGTGATTTTAGTGTATTGAGTAAATGTCACATTTTTACATTTTTTAATTTCCCGCCAGTTTCATCCCCTGTACGTTCCGAGGAACGGAACCCAGAAGACGAATGCTGGCATCGGCCGGAGGACATGGCCGGGGACACTGCAGGAGGGACATCCCAGGAGCGCAGGACAAGGTAAGTGCAGAAGAGATCCCGGAGCAACGCTGCAGTGTATTCCCGAGTGTAGCTCGGGGGGGGTTACCGCTTGTGGTGCTGAAACTTTACCCTGAGCTACACTCGGGAATACCGCCAGGGGGGTTAAGAATCAAACGTGATTCAGACTTCTTCTGGAAGGAGGTTTTACTGACTGGACCTCTGTGAATTGTGATTCAATACCCCTGCTTTAGGCATTAGATCAGAAGGCAGAGCAGATAAGAACATTTTCCAGATTTAAAACTAGTTAAAGATCCATAAACATATTTAGAACTGCTAGTTTACAAATATAAAGTCATTTCTTTCTTTTAGAATGAGTGCCAAGTTTAAAAACATAGAAAAATTCAACAGAAAAAGACCGAGTGGTCCATTGAGTCTGCCTGTTTTTTTTTATATACTTTTTTTTTTTTGGGGGGGGGGGTTGTTTTAGTTTTTGTTTGTTTGTTTTTGTTTTTCATGTGTTTTTTTTGTCTGAGTATAGATCTATGCTTGTCCTATAGAAGCTATTTACTGCTGACTGGCTCACTACCTCTGCTAGAATTTTATTCCAAGCATCAACTACTCTTTCAGTAAAATAATACTTTCTGAGATTCGTTTTGAATGTTCCTCCAGTTAGTTTAAGGTCATGTCCTCGTGTTCTTGATTTTGGTTTCGTGTTGAAAATACTGCCCTCCTGAACTTTATTACTTCCTTGATGTATTTAAAGGTTTCAGTCATATCTCCCCTTTCCCTTCTGAAGTCGCTCTTGATATGTTTTATCCCCCAGACCTTTCACTATTTTTGTTACTCGTCTCTGGACTTGTTCTATCTTATCAATATCTTTTTGTAAGTGAGATCTCCAGAACTTGATACAATATTCCTCTGGTAATATAAAGATCTATATAGGAGAATCAGGACCTCCTTCCTCCTGCCGGTGACCCCTCTAGTGATATAAAGATCTATATAGAGGAATCAGGACCTCCTTCCTCCTGCTGGTGACCCCTCTAGTGATATAAAGATCTATATAGAGGAATCAGGACCTCCTTCCTCCTGCCGGTGACCCCTCTAGTGATATAAAGATCTATATAGAGGAATCGGGACCTCCTTCCTCCTGCCGGTGACCCCTCTAATGAAATAAAGATCTATATAGAGGAATCGGGACCTCCTTCCTCCTGCCGGTGACCCCTCTAGTGATATAAAGATCTATATAGGGGAATCGGGACCTCCTTCCTCCTGCCGGTGACCCCTCTAGTGATATCAAGATCTATATAGAGGAATCGGGACCTCCTTCCTCCTGCCGGTGACCCCTCTAGTGATATAAAGATCTATATAGAGGAATCAGGATCTCCTTGCTCCTGCCGGTGACCGCTCTAGTGATATAAAGATCTATTTAGAGGAATCAGGACCTCCTTCCTCCCGCTGGTGACCCCTCTAGTAATAACTAAGGATCTATATAGGGGAATCAGGATTTCCTTCCTCCTGCTGGTGATCCCTCTAGTTATATAAAGATCTATATAGAGTAGTCAGGACCTCCTTCCTCCTGCTGGTGACCCTCTAGTGATGCATCCTAGAATTCTATTCACTTTCCCCACAGCCAGGCCACACTCTTTTCTCATTTTGCAATCATTTGAATCATCTTTAATTTGCACTCTGGTTAGTTTAGTGTAAAGCTTGCAGCTGGAAGACAATGAAAAACGATAATGAAAAATGATAGATGCTCTTGAATAACTGAAATGCCAATGAATGAGGCGTAGAAGCAGCAGAGGTGTCATATGGAAAATGAAAGTAAGTACGGTTTCAGGGAAATCATCTGGTTTTCCTCCTCTGGCAGTTCCTGTTTAT